ACTACACAAGACTTAATCTTTCAAACCCAATGCCTTCAGTTTATAATACAGGTAAAATATTTGAAGCATTATGATGGCATCATCAGGGGTTATTTTTTCAGACTTTATCAAGTCCCTCCAGAGTCACAGATGACATTATACAACTGTTTTCACAGGTTGAGCAGTGATCTACCTATTCAGTAAACTGTGTGTAAAATCAGTGAAGTGCCCCTTTAACATGAATTAGATAAACATTTATACATAGTTTACTCTACCATATGAAAATAATTTCACCCTCCTTTTCGAAACAGTATCGCACAAGCTCTAATGTGATCACAGCATCTCCTCTGGTATCCACACACTCTTTGCTCTTATTGAATCAGATAAGACTCCAGATACCATTTTCTCCATTTCATCTTCTCCTTGCTGAAAAGCTCAAGGACTTGCGTAGCCTACTCACACTTCCAGTCTCCTACAGTGCTGTCAGCACAGGAGCTGCTCATTAGTATGAAAACCTCAGCACCAAAATAAACTCTCTCCCAGAACACTTAACAACACTGTGTGGTCTATTACTCCCTTATCTTACTCAGCTGCACACCATCAGCACAGGTACACTGAGAGGTATACTGTGGGCAAACTTGAGGAGGATGATCCCAGACTAAACTCAAACACTGATGGCTTCAAAGAAAATGTTTTCTCTTTTTAAGCCTGAGCGTGTTAACATGCTTCCCCCTCCTCATCTTTTCACAACCTACATGCAGCCCATTGTTTCCTACAGCAGATTTTAGCCAGCTACTCTCCGAGCCTGGAGCTAAAAGGCTAATATGATCTGGAATGCACTGAGCATTGCTGTGGATCATAGATTTTTTTCTCTATCAACTGAATGACTCATGCGTGGTAATGGACCTGGTGTGTGGAATTCAAAATACAGAACCTTTAAACCTCCAATATGATCAATGCACTATTATCTATGCCTGAATTGGGTTTAGAATTATCTGACATGATGGAAACAATTTTCCAAAAACAGGGGATGCAGCTGACAACGTCACTGACATTTGAGGTAGACTGACTACACATTTTTAGGAACACAAAATAAGAACAACACTAACAACCACCAAATATGTACATTTATGGTAAAATATTACATAAAAATAATAATAATAATAATAATAATAAGTCAAAATAATTACCGTATGTGTTAATATCTGTTATACACTTGTCTTGTTGCTTCTTGATATGCTCCCTCACATCATAAACAGCACAACACACACATACCACGGTGAAATGTGGCTCTGAAATCACTGTTTTAACAGGGACTGTGGCTTGCCTGTATAGTACGTAAGTCTCTCTCTCTCTCCCTCTCTCTCTCTCTCCCTCTCTGTCTCTCTCTCTCTCTCTGTGTGTGTGTGTGTGTGTGTGTGTGTGTGTGTGTGTGTGTCAGCTCCGACTGCCCACAGAATGAATGTAGCTCCCACATTTTCAATGCAGAGCAGCAATAAATCCAACAAGTCAAACATATGGCAACACTCAACCAAGTTAGTACAAATTTACCAGCTTCCTAGCCTGGACTCTGGTTAGTTGCTTGTCTAAATAAGCTAGGTTAGCTGTGTTGTCGTAGTGCTCTGCCTAATTCACCAGACACACAAAATCGCAAATTAGCCAAAAACAACCGTTAAGCTTGTGAACGTTGCCTTTCTCATGAGCTTGTGCTGAAGATAGTCACATTATACCTTGAGTTTACAATTCTAATCTATAACGAGATTAAATAAACTACTCACTCAGTCAGTGGTTGGTGAAAAATGATGGAAATGAGCCCATATATCCACCCACCAACGGAGATATTTTCATTGCAGCAGGCAGCTACAGTAACTGGATCGTGCGGTTGACAAGCTGCGAGAACATCACCAAGCAACAGTTTGAGTGGCGAGACGGCGACCAATGAGAGCGGTTGGAACACTTGTTTATTCCAACGCCCTCTCGTTTTCGACCAATCAGAGAGCATAACGGCTACGAGGGGGAGAAAACTGTGTTGCGGTCTGAGGGTGTTTCGTATGAGGTAGGATATTATTGTTCTAATTTCTCAATTACATAATTCACAAGATCACACCCTGCTTTCATTATGATAACATAATGTATCTAGAGGCTACATCAAAGCAAATGTAGCAGTAGAAGCCTTGCGTCTTAAGGATATTATAAGGCAACAATATTAATAAACAGTGAGCAGATAACCGAAATAGGGTGACGAATAAATGCCTTGCTCACAGTTCACCAGTGTCTTTAGGTTGCTGTATAAAGACATTATGATATTATGACATTTTCATACTCTTCTTTAGCGGAAATGTGTTGTAATTTGCACTGTCTCTGAGGAAATTAACAGCTTTAAGTGCCCCCTGACAACAATAAAGTTCACCCAATGAACAGATCATTTCATACATGATAAACCTACAGGCAGTCATGTACAAATTCGCTTTGTTCAGTTAATGAATCTGAATTTAGAAAAAACTATGATGACTTATTATGAAACTTTTTCTTTATTCATCAAATAACTTCTGAACTAAATGTATACATTGTATGATACAAATCACAACTTTGTCCACATTATTATGGATAGACAATGAAAATGCACCTGCCTCTTGGTTAAATTGTCAGGAGCACAAAGCCAAAAGAAAACTGCTGATAGGATCCTGTGTGTCTGGATCCATGACCCTTTACTCCATTTAGACCAAATCTGAGCTATTGACGTTCTAAACAATGTGAGGGATCTATATAACTTTTTCCAAGTGTGCGCGCCCATATAAAATGATGCTGCCACCCACAGGATGAACTTAAAACTGAAACAAACAGCTATCTTCATCCATTACAGATATTATAAGGGCTCAATAAAAGTGGGTTTGTTTCAGATATGGTGGCTTGGAGTAAGATTTCTTTGGATATCTATGATAAATAAAGAGATGAACTAGAGTAGTTGTTGCAGCCCTTTTGTCCATTAGTCTGTCAGCCTGGGGTGGAGTAAAGTAAATACCCCCTGAGGAAATGTCATAATGTAGATTTTGGGAACATGTCATAACTCCTCTGCCAGGTTAGTAATCATTATAAACAATCATATTGTAAAAGTGATATCAAAATAGCTACTTTTTCATTGTTTTCTGTTTTATTTTGAGAGTGAATGTGTGAACTACACATATACGATATATATATACATATATATACAGTACATATGCTGTATATATGGTTATGATGCAGCTCTTTAAATATGATTTGGTGTAACTGCTGTAAGAGAAGTTAAATGCCCTCTGTATGTCTGCATGAAACTTCAGCTTCACCACTGAGTAAAAAACCCTGTAACTGACTGTATAGTGAATGACCTACTTTTTCCTACTAGTATCTGGATTATAATAGATCATATTAACACAAAGGCTAAATGTTACTGATGACACTTCTTCTTTTTGTCAAACAATTCTTGACTAACTGAACCAACTCAGCTACCATGCTGACCCATTTGTTATTGAATGACAATACATATTTGCTATGTTTGGTGTAATAGAGATCTGCATTTTTCACCATTTTTATACTGTATATCCAAAACACAGCTTAAAGCCTGCTTGGGTGCTCAACTAAAAAATGTGTTTCAGTCTTTTTCATATTATGAATTTCTTCTTGACCAAACCTATATTTTGAAATATGAATTTGAAATACACATATAACATTGCGTGACTTCAGCTGCTGACTGCAGATTTCCTGTAACCTACTGGAGAGGGAACAAAGGTAAGTAGTAGTAACACTGCTACAATTTAAAAATACCCTATTACAAGTGAAAGTACTTACAAGTAAAAAATACTATGTAACTTAAAGTATCCAAAGGAAAATAACTAAATGCAGAAAAAATACATATGTATCTTTACCCAGTTACTTATTATTACAGATTATTATTACAGACGCATTTATGTGTAAGTGGTTTACTGTTGGAGTTGGTCCAGATTGTTTTTTGTCATCAGGCTCAAGCCTTTATTGAATATATATTTTATTGCTTTAGGCGACTTTGGGTGTCCTCATGTATGCTGAAACCTGTTTGAGTACTGGAAGTGACTTATGCTTGAGATGGTGAGAATAATCTAGACTTCTTAGGAAAATTGTGGGTGGGGGAAAACACAAGAGTTTGAAACTAACATGGGACAATGATTCTGAGTCATGTTTTGCTGTTTGGCAAATGTGATGACGCACTACTCCCTATTGTAGCTGAGAACGGGCTGTAACACTTTTACACCTAGTTTATTGTAATTTCATTCACCTTAAATTGACTGTTTTTATTTACACTGTGTGTTTTGTTGTTGTTGTTGTTATTATTATATATTCTAATTTGCCTACATTTTTTGTTTATTATTATTACTCTGAATTCTTAAAATATTTGAATACGTTTTGGGATTTAATTTTATATTTCATCTGTATTGTTCTATTTTAAATTATATTATGTGGTGGTAATTATACTATCTGGTCTTGTCTATTAGTTAAAACAATTTTCTGTTTAAAACGTATTTACTTTGATTTAAAAAAAAATTAATACTCTGTCATTGTACACTGATATATTGGGTTATATAATTAAGTGGTGTGGTTTTCTCCCTCACATTACTTCTTAAAATATCAGCCTTAGTCTTAAATTATTTGTTCAAGATGATGTCAGTGGTCATAGTTTCAGTGTCAGTGGCTCAGTTCAGTTTTCATGTTTTTCTCACATTTACTGACACTTTTCAATCAGTTTTGAACCACAGCATGAGAAAGACCTTGTAAAGAAGAGCGAAAGTGAAGATGGGCAACTACTGTTACTTTCTGGAATCCCATATTACTGCACAAGTCTTTCAGACGCTGATTGGATGAAATAAGTAAACCTATGCTTGATTGGCTATAAGTGTGAGCAACGCAAGCGTTCATTGGCCTACTGAACTACACCTACTGACTCAAGCCCGAAGCACTGCTTCGTCTTTGCTGTCCGTACAATACTATCTTTGGCATAAATTACATGCGTGTAAGCATACACTACATTCGTGAAAAAATGGCAGCTGACGAATAGAGAAAAGTGGATCTTCACTCGAAAAACAGACGGCACTTGTAAGTTTGTTCCTTAGAATAAATGATATAGAGATTTGGAAGAATGTCGGTTGAAGTTACACGACCCGGGTTATGTGTAATTATCCTTGATAATATGGAAGAAACTGCTCTCACAGGGTTAACGTTAACGCTAAGGTTAGCCAACCTAGTTATTAGCCAGCAGCGGTAGCTAGCAAATCAAGCATTCCCAGTTGTCAACATTGGGCCCCGGCTATTACCTGGAACAGTATTATGTTAATTAAACGCATCAGATCCGAGAGCAAACAGGCAATATTTGAAATAGAAATAATAGCTACTTTAGTATACCGTTATATATAAAGTAAATTATCCCTAACGTTACCTCGATATTCAGCTAGCTAGGTGTAACTAGCCAAGTTAACATTAAAATGCTGATGTTAGGTGACATAACCAACCTGCTAACAGTTAACGCTGATAGGTAACGTTTTAGTTGGCTAGAAAAACATTGGTAAGTGTCCACATATTTATTTGTATGAGGCAACTATTTCATCAAGTTATAACGTTAGCTATTGTAGGTAATAAACAAGTACCTCAGTGTAACGTGAACGTTAATTTGGCTCATAAAACGGCAGAGTTAGCCTCATTATAATAACGTTAGTCATCCAACATGGCCAATTTTATCGTCAACGATAAGGAGTTAGCCTGTGTTTTTACTTTAAAAGGTGATTTGAGATGACACCGCGTTGTCCTGTTTTCTTCGTGTTACACGCCAAGAGATGTAGGACAGCTGTTTTGTTTTCTTGTGATCCAGCTCACTACTTCGTAAGTGTATCGGTGATGAAGTCCGTAGTAATCCATTAGCATTTCACTGAAATCTGGAAATGCGGAGGGACTGTACGCTGAGTTCAGTACAGTGTCATATGGGCTGTCCCAGTAGACCACAGGCCTGTTGTAACAGTGTTGAGTCCCACGAAAAAACAGACCCTGTTACAGCCGTCCTGTCTCCGTGGGAGTGTCCATTACAGGAATACCAAACTACTGCACATGAAAGAGACTCTGATGTGTTTTACTTGTCAGAAGAAGTCTATTCTCCCTCTGCTAACAACAACACCATTTAACTTACCTTCAGATTTCAAGTGGCTCCCTGCTGCAGGTTATTTCAGTCTTTGCTTCCTAAGAAAACCAAGTTATATATTGATTTATCACTGATACTCCTGACAGTTAAACTTGAACTTCCATTTTACAAAGTACACTGAGATATAACATAGCATAGCATCAGTAGCTAAAAGAAGTTTCACAAGTAATAACAAGTAACAACTATATTATTTTAAAACATTTATAGTCATTTTTTGTTGTCTGCAACCGTAGCTCTATGTATTAGTGCTAAAATGCCTAGTAAATGATCAGATCAGATGCTTTTCTGTGTTTTACATCATTGTAAATGTAAACTCGTTGGGTTTGCGGACTGACAAGAAAGTTGAAGGTGGCATCTTTAACTCTGGAAAATGGTGATGAGCATTTCTGCTGTTATTTGATATTTAATTTACTAAGTGGTAATTGAGGGAAAAATTGACAGTAGAAATAATCATAAGTTGCAGCCCTAGTATGTGATGTAAGTGCTTTGAATGTACATTTGCATGTTGGTTCCCAGCATGAGGTTTGGAATGATACACTGAATATTTAAGAAAACAATCAGCATGATTGCCGGACGCTACACCACAAGCAGCTTTATTCAACTACAGACACTGCTGATTTCTTAATTCCCAAAATGCCATGTGCATTCATCATCATAGCCCTTGTATTTTATATTGTTCTATTTAACAAATGAATCTTTAGAACTGTTTTGTTGTGTTTTTGTGTTTGCAGGATTCCACATTAAATAAATTTTACTTTTGATATTCTTAGGACAGAACTACACAGACAAACAAGCACACTGGGTTGACTTCCTGCACCTTGATTGTCATCATAAGAGTGTCACCATTGGTTGTCAGTCACCATGGGAAAAACTCAGCTAAAAGGCAAGTAGTCCTCATTTGACTGTGCTTGATAAAGATGGTTGTTCATGACTTTAGAGCTTTTACAGGCAAAATAGTTGAAAATAGAAAAAGTAAATTTATGTATAAAATCAGTGGTTTCACCTGAATTTTTATAAATTTGTTTTTGAAGACATTTGGACCCTTTTAGCCATTCAATTTCAACATGCATTTGTCCCAATTTATTCTTTATTAAAGACCCAGCACACCCTCACAGGTGTTTTCACAGACCTCTGATCAGGTAAATTTTGACAGAGTTACACAGGAAAGTTTGTGATTTCATCAAAATAAATTGAAATAATGAAGGCATGTACATTCTGACACTGCCTTAAGGAAAACTGATCAAGCACAATAAGAGAAAATACCTGTGTGACAATACAGTGGGTGTGTATGGGCTTGATTTAGCACAACATACAGCTTCATTTGTCACGTTGTTGCATTCAAACGGTTAGTGAAGGCATTTTGTCATTCAAATATTGTTTGTGTCACCAGCTCTGATGGCAGTCTCCAGGTTTCACTGTAGTATTTCACAAATTGCCTGACGTTAACTTCCTCAGAAATCCATATTTATTACTAGCATTCAGACTCTTATTTATAGTGTGTCAGCATATTTAAATTTGTTATTACACTGTAATTGCAATGTTTCACATGTGAAAACTGTTGCACACAGGGTCTTTCCCTTGTCTAAAGTGACAAGACTTAATTTGGGAAGTGGGAATTGTACAGATACTTTAATTATACTACTTTTTTTTTTCATTCATTTATGAAAGAGTTTTTATCATTTGCATCATTTTTAGATCAGAAAGATGGCAAGAAAGAGAAACCAGGAAGAACAGTTCCACCAACAGGTACAACCCCTGCAACAAGTAAAGGTGAACTTTTTATTTGGTATTTTGTGATGGTGTTTCCCTTTGTTTGTTAGAGTGTTTGTAAGTATTTGTGAGACTTATTCCTTTAGATTACTTTAGTTAAACACAAGAATAGCTGTTTTAGTTTAGATTATCAAGAGAGAGAGTACTTTTACATTTACTTTCACATGGTATTTGTTCTAGAGAGCCTCTTTTCCAAGGTTTGCAATACGTAATACTAGCAATTGCCTTTCCAAAAAAGCCAAAACTCACACTCAAAAAAAACATGATACTGATGTAATAAAAATCTAAAATGTGGCTGATACCAGTGGACCGGAGAGAGACTTGGAAAGTGACCAGAGGTTATTACACTTAATAACCTCCCAATTCATTGACAGGTAGCAGGTGATATTGTGGCATCTTGCTCAAATGTATTTTATAGCCTAAACATTTAACCTTTTCTCCTCAGATGCTTTCAGCTGGGAAGAATATCTCAAAGAAACATCATCTATACCAGCTCCACCGAGCTGTTTTCGTCAGGTATGTCCTCAGTTCATTTAATATTTGACAGAACCCATTTGCATGGATATCAGCCCAGTCTCACTCCTCAGTGTAAATCTAAGTAAAGTCATTGGGTGAGAATTTGGAGGATTTTAGGCTAAAAATATTAATGGTACATAAAATAGTTGCCATGTATTTATCTTATTCCTTGCTCTCCTTTTGGAAGTCTGCTTCACACTACCACAGTCAAAACTGAATCAGGATGCTTCGTCATTGTTGACAGTCATTAGCAAATCAAAGAGGCTTTTTGTTGGCAGTGCAGTTAAAGGTTTAAGTGTTTTTAAGTCTGTTGTTTAAGTACTGTTGTCACTGAGGTAACTGGTTCCATGAGTTTCTGCTGGTGGTGGTTTACCAACTGGATTTCCCTCATCACTCAATTTATGACTTTATATCACCCTCCCGAAAGTTTACAACCATGCAGATGCATTTGTTCTGTGTAGCTAGCAGTAAATGTTCTATCAAATGCTATAACACAGATTTTCCAGTTGGTTGACACAATTTAGACCTGACTGGAGCTACAGGCTGATTGAATAATGATTTTCCTGCAGTGTATTTGGGAAGTTCTAACAATGGCATGTATGATATCGTCCTGTTGTCTGCAGGCTAGAGTCCCGCCCTCTAATGACTTCAAAGTGGGAATGAAGCTTGAAGCCCACGATCCACGCAACTCCACTTCAGTTTGTATCGCCACAGTGATGGGTTTAACTGGGGTTCGTCTGCGTCTCCGTCTGGATGGAAGTGACAACAGTAACGACTTCTGGAGGCTGGTAGACTCCTCCGACATCCAGCCGATTGGCACCTGTGAGAAGAATGGAGACATGCTGCAGCCGCCACTGGGTGAGAACGTCAGGGGAGGTGGGATGGAAGCACATTGTTGGTGTCACTTTTAATAAAGGAAAAACATCAGTTGTTAGTCTCAGCAATACAGAACAAATGATCTACCACACTAGAGTATTTATTAAAAGGAAAAGGACTTGCTCCATTACTGTGCACATAACTGCAGAACCACTGTGGTTAGGGTTATAAAATTCCACCAACAAAACTAAATAACGGATGGCAGACTGATAAAATTTGCCCCTACAGGCATCGAAATCCATTATTATCATCATTAAGTGTGTGTAAATGTACACTGATTAAAATGATGTGACAGTTCATTTTTGCAACCTCACAAAACAAATAACAGCGATGCTTAATAAATATCCCACATCTGAAATTAATTCTCTTAGACTTTTTATGCCTCTGCGCCGGTGACAGCCATGGCTGGAGGCTTTATGTTTTCAAGTTGTCTGTTCTTCCGTCCGTCTCATTCTTGTGAACACGATATCTCAGATACGCCTTTAGGGAATTTCTTCAAATTTGGCACAAACATTCACTTGGACTTAAGGATGAACTGATTAGATTTTAGTGGGCAACGGTCAAAGGTCAAGGTCACAGTGACTTAACAAAACACAATTTTGGGCTTGTGAATGCAGTATCTCAGGAACTCCTCAGAGGGTATCCTTTCAAATTTGGCACAGATATATAATAATATTTCATATGGTCTGGACCTGAAACTAGTCTGTGTGGTAGAGGCATACAACTGCCAGGTGGTAGTTCTAGTTTTAGAGTTAATAGCAATCCAAAATCTCACAAAAGTGACACTAAACCCATTCAGAATACAAGCAATGCAGGAAATTATCCAACAGATCACATGGTGTGTTAATAACAGTAAATTTTGCTTGTTTGTTTTATTCTCTCCCCCAGGATTTCGGATGAATGCGTCCTCTTGGCCCATGTTTCTGTTGAGAACCTTAAATGGAGCAGAGATGGCACCAGCAACAGCCTTTAAAAAGGTACAAGCTTTGTTGTACAAGCAGAATCAATCTTAGTAGTGTGTGCATTTAAAAGTTGTTGCACTGAGGATATTTCACTCATTTTCAGGAGCCTCCAAGGCCTCAGCAGAACAGCTTTAAGCCAGGCATGAAGCTGGAGGCTGTGGACAAGAAGAACCCATACCTCATCTGCCCCGCCACCATCGGGGAAGTGAAGGGCGATGAGGTCTTTATCATGTTCGATGGGTGGCGGGGTGCCTTTGATTACTGGTGCAAGTGTGAGTCCCGGGACATCTTCCCCGTGGGCTGGTGCTCCCTCACTAAGCACAGCCTCCAGCCACCAGGCAACAGTGGTGAGTTTCAGCCTGTAGGTGGCAGCACAAGTCTGCACATACAGCGAAGTCTGAGACAGATGCTGCTGTTTGTAATACATGCTTCTTCCACAATCATTTAGTTGTGGTTGCCCCCCACAACCAGGAAATTGCATCCACAGCTAGATAAATATAAATACAATTAGCATTAATCATCTGGTCTCATTGCTCTATCAGAGATAGTCAAATATACACAGGCTCTAAAAGAAAGCATGAATTCAGCTTCCTGATCTTCATGTAATCTAACACATAACTTCACATTTCTGAATGGAAATGTTTCTGTGTTTGAAGGGAACACAGATTTACAGTTCATCTGAATGAATGGTGTGGTGGTTTATGGTTTCAGAGTTTGTGTTGGAGTTCATGATGACTGCAGCTGAGTTGGTGTTGGTGGTTTTGGCACAGGAGTTGCAAGTAGCAGGTATTGGACAAATCTTTAGTTTAAACTAAAAACTAAACTTTATAAGTTATGCTACATGGAAATTGTTTTCCTGTTTATAAACCGTGCTCATGGATTTGTTATCCGTGCCCACGGACTTGTAATCTGTGCCCTTGGCTTTTTGTAAATCTGTGGGCATGGATTTGTAAACTGACAGGACAGGTTCACATGGCTCTGGATAGATATGGATGTATTTCTACAGCCCTCACAGTGGCTGCACTGCTAAAGAAAGTTAGGTTGCTTAGTAACAAGTGTAACATGGTGTTTTCAAAATGGTCGTCTTGATAAACTGCAGCGACATTCAGCAACAAAGAGAGTCGTGAGCAGTCAGCCAACACGTGTAGGAGACATACTGTGCATTGTGTGTGAAACTGCAGATCCTGTCAATGTGTGTTTAGGTGGGTGGGATGGAACAGACAGAATTACAAGAAGGAAGGGAGGGAAGAAGGAAAGAGGATTTATGTTCCTCATATCACACCTGTTTACATGGAGAAGACATGTTTACATAAAAGCTGCTCAGCCCAGGCCCTGACATTTGCTCAACCACATTTGTGTAAAAGACTCTGGATGGAGAGGATAAGATTATCAACCACAAAACACATGACACATAGCTGCTGCTACAGCCCTGCTTTAGTCTTCTTTTAAATGTACTTTTACCTGCTCATGGGATATGAAAACCACACACTTACCCTCTCCCCTGGCACCCTTTCCTCTCCACTCCTCCCCCATCTAATGCTGATTGGTCTGCATGCTCCAGCTCCTCTTTCAGTGTGGGCTTTGTTTTAAGCTTGAGCTGCGTTTTGGGGGACGATTTATTTGGCTCTCTGCTGTATGTGTGGGGGCTGTTAGGGAATCCTGAGTAGATACAGAAACAGAAAATATTTACTAGCTGAGTAAATTGGCTGTTACATTGTGTGGGTATGAGTTTTTTTTTTTCTTTCAGCATGGTGAGTTCCACTTTTACTTGTTTACATTTGTGTTTTTGGCAAGGCCTTGTGCTCATTTGTTGAGAAAACCAGTGTTCACAAACACAACATATACATTAGTAATAAAAAGGCTGAAGAGGTAATTTCTCTGTTTGAAGATAAGAGAGGGGTTGATGGTTCTAATTTAGCATAGTGTTTTGTTCGAGCCCAGTCCTGGCACACACTCACTCAGCACACAGACACACAAAGAGGACTGACAGTGACTGACAGGGCCAGTAAAAACCTTATTGATTTTTTAATGGTCCATCAGCAGGATTTCTTCCAGTGCACCCAATGGCCAGTCCGACCACAACAGACGGGTTCATTGTCAGTATGTATGTGAGTGTGTGTGAGTAAGAGAGGGAGTGAGAGAGAGCGGGGCAAGGACAGGCAGCTCTATAGTGAAGCAACAGTGCGAAATACTGCTTTACAGATCTTTTATGTTATGAGATGTGTGAAAATATTTCTAAACTCAGATTAGATTGTAGCGAGCGATCAAACAGGCACAAGGAACAGCTTGTTTATTAGTTATGTGATCATAGATAGTGTCATTCTCTGGGGGGTGTCATTGGCGATAAACTGCCAAAGAAACCACAGAAATAATCCACTGTGACAGTCCTACATGTTGAACAGGCTTTGTGCTGAGAGTCTGAGCATTCAAGAGTGAGGTGTTCTTGCTGTTATGATTAATGTAGTTTCAGTATTTATTAGAGGTGTAACAGTACACAAAACTCACATTTTGGTACATTCCTCGGTTTTGAATTCACTGTCCAGTATGTTTTCGGTACAAATTGGATGACAATTAACATTGATGAAATTCACTTAAAGGCACATTTCTTAAAAAAATCATACCTAAGTCATCTAGGTATTAATGATATTGCTACAATATTATTGATATTGCTACTAACAATATGTTAGTACATTGCTTCAGAAGGTTATCAAATAATTAAGAAATAAAAAATATAATAATGAAATAAAGATATATTCTCATGTTCCATGTTTCAAAGATTAATGTATCCACATTTTTTTTATTTTTTTACTCTTGACAGTCACAGTGAGAGAGAGACAGCAAAGTCAGGGAGGGAGAGAGAGAGAGAGGGAATGACATGCAGCAAAGCACCATGGGTCAGATTTGAACCCGGTTTGCTGCAGTTAAGACTATACCATAAAAGATCTTTATGGTACACGTTCTACTAGATGAGCAACTGGATGTCCTCAGAAAGGGCAGATCTACTGACACTGACAATGTCTCCTGCTGCTGAAAAATTGTTAAAGGTGGATTAGATTCATTTGGATCACAATGCAAACTGAACCAGACATCCTGTACTGAACAGCACGGCACAAATACTTTGCTAATTGTTTTTTCATTAGCCCATCTGTGAGCTTCTGCTCTGTCCAGGACCTCTTGATTAGCCAGCAGAAAAATGCAGCGTAATTCTTTAAAAGTGATGTTGTTGTAATTCTGTACATTAAAACATCTCTGGTATGTATTAAGTTGTTATTAGAAAGCTTGGCAACTAGTCTGTAGTACAGCTTGTACAATAAACCTCACTGCTGAGTAATTACTGTTGTAATACAGCTGTAGTACTACTGTTGTTTTCTCAACAGTCAGTGAAAGGCATCGTCAGGCAGAATGAAATAAAATAAAAGATCAAGTAATTGGAAGTGTATGACACAAACTGGAGCACTTCCCCTGACATTTGCTGTAATGAGATGCTGCTGTTGAAACCCAGACTGGCACAGCGCCATCTCTTCGCTCTGACTTTCATCTCGCCCACCAACATCAGCACAGCACACTGTGCTGGTCACTGGGTCCAGAGATAATGACACACAGTTTGTCTCCCTAATTAGCCAGGAGAGACTCGGTGATGGGAAACCAAACCATTCTTCATTTTTATTACCTCTCCTTGGACAGATAAGACTACATGTCTGAATTGTATTGTTGATCCAAACATAGTTAAATCCCTGCTCCATGTTTTTCCTGGTTTTCATTTCCATGACTGTGTTTTTACTGTTATTAAAACTAAAATGTCACATTATATATGATGTCATCATGATGTTGTATAAGTACACATTTTCATTTACTTCATTGATGCTGTTATTACAGTTAACCTCCCAAAGAACCTGCAGACTCTCCCAGCATCACCCTCCAAGCCCAGCAGGCGGTCCATGCAGTCCCCCTACAGACTCCCCAACCCTCTGCCCCCTTTGCCTGTCAGGAAAGGGGTCCGGGGCCGTCGACCCAAGAGCGAGACCATTGCTCTACTCAAAGCTGTGGCAGAAGCAGCAGCTGCCCAAAATGGAAGTGTACCTGAAACCACACAGCTTGTACCCCGGCCCCACAAGAAGAGAGGACCCAAACCTGGAAGCAAGGTGAGACCCTGCTGAACAAACCCCAACTCTGAGATTTTTAAACATCGCATGAATTCTTTGTACTTAGTAAAGTAAATCTACAAATGAACGTTTGTCTTTCAGAGAAAGTCCAAGATTCTCCAGGCTCCAATGCAGCTGCCCAGCATCCAGGTTCCACAAGAGAGCCCTCCCAGTCTCAGCTCTGTGGTTTCAACAGGTAGGGATTAATGGTCATTAACTATCACATGCTGTGCTCTGAATCAAAGATATCATCTTAGTATCTAATGTGTTCAATGTGTACTTTGTTTGTGTGTTGTTTCAGTGTGTGTGTATGTGAATAAGCATGGAAACTGTGGTCCCCACCTGGACAGGAAGCAGATGCAGCGTCTGCCAGACCACTTTGGCCCGGGGCCAGTGAATGCAGTGCTCCAGCAGGTGGTCCAGTCGTGTATAGACTGTGCATACCAACCTAAAGTCCTGCTCGTTGCTCTGCAGACTCATTCAGGAGGAGGAGAGGTTGTTAGAGGTAGACACACACATACACACACCACCAGCTGTTAGAAGTGGTTAGATGAAAAATCGTCTGATCAGATGGCTGTACATGTAGCCAAGCCGTTTTGTGACAGATGAGTGTTGTCCCCCTCCCCAGTGAGGACAGATGGTGGAGTTCGTGTGGTCAAACTACCTTCAGCCTCCAGTGCTTCCTTTGTGCTACGGTTCCTGGAGACGATGTGTCGTCACCTGCAATGTGACAACCTGTTCAGCAGCCAGCCGTTCAGCCACTATGCTGATTATGACAGGAACAAGTCAGGTGATGACTGTGCACTCAATTGGAAGTGATTTCATATTCTTTAAATAATTAAAACTGAGACAAAAAGTAAGAACTGCATCAGTCCTATTAAAATATTCCAGTTGAAAAAAATAAACTATTTTCAGGACTTTGTTTTGTATCATGTGGAATTTCTGTAGAACAATAATAGTAAAAGAACTTATCTTCCTCTGCTGGTTACTTTGACTTTGTAATGTATTGTGTCTGTTCATCCTGTGTGTAGCACTCAGTAGTTATATACTCTGCGCTGAAAATGATTCCTTCCTTGTTTATGTGTTGCAGTGAAAGAGGAGGCGTTGGACGCTCCCTCTCTGGCTCGGGGGAGTAAACGGAGTCTCTCTGGGGTCTCTCCGCCGTATGCAGCTCCTCTGTCTCCGAAACATTTACGTACTGAGGCTCACCCTTCAGAAGGTACAGCTCAGTCACTGTAATGCTTTTTATACTGGAACACAATGTCTTCAGTTGTGTGCTTTGACAAGAATAAATCTACAAAAAAAAGACATTCACTTTCAGCACTTATGTCTCAGTGCATTTAACCTTTATACTGCCTCCAATTCTAAATCAAACATTTAAATACCCCAAATAAAAACAAAATTTACCAAGCAGCCTGTGTTTATATCTACCCAACCATGGTGAGCCTCAGGGCTGAGTCCTCAGTACATTCTAAAAAAGATTCCTCCTCACAACACAAAAGCTCTGTCTGATATGAAAAGCAGAATCCAGAGATCTTGCCAAAATGTGGGCAGTTGGTATCTCAACCAGATAAACAACAACCAAAGCATAATAATGTATAATATATAACACTGACACAATGTTGCAGAAAGATATTTTTGAAGTTGCATTTATTTATGAAAAGATTTTAAAAAAGCAGCCTATTTTGATGAGAGATTACATGGCTTTGTGTTGCCTTAGTTACTGTGATGTCTGCAGCTCAGTCAAACTATAGTAGCAATAATGTAAAGCCTGGAAGACACACTCAGGAGTCCTTTAACTCTCAGTGCTCATTGGCTGCAGCCTTTGTGTTCATATCCAGAGACTGTCTTGGTAGTCAGAACATGTTCCCACACACACACATACACACATGCACGCACGCACGCACGCACGCACGCACGCACGCACGCACGCACACACACACACACACACACACACACACACTCCCTACTTTAAAATTTTATTTACCTTTAAGAGCTTTGGCTGAGCAGCAGGTGTGTTGTGTAATATACCAATATACCAGATTGTATTTTCCTAGTACACTACAGTGTGTATAAACAATTAGCCTAGCTACTTGCTCAGTGCTGTTGTCAGTATTGGCACTAAAATGAGTGGTGAGACTATAATCAGTTGTGTGTGCTGCTGGGTTAATCTCCTTTACTGCTGCGTCAGTAAAAAGCAGGAGTGTTAGGATGTTCAGATTCTGTTTATTTGTTTTGTGTAAAAGTTATGACTCACTGAAAATGATATTTGAATGTCACTTGTGTTTCCCTCTCTCCAGCAGAGACTCTGCCACATGAGGAGAACGGCCTAATAAAGGAGCAGCGCTACATGGACTCAGCCTCCAACTCCATGACCCCTCGTCCTCAAACAGTGCGGAGTTCCTCAGAGTACCACTCTCAAGCCAGCAGCCTCTACCATCCTGGCAACAGCACGCCCATGCGCCGCCTCTCCTCCAACCCCGCAGAGCTCGCCTCCACACAGCCTCTCCGACGAGTTGAAGGTACAGTACTGATCTGTGGAAGCACATGGATATAAATACTCACTTCTGGCTCTCATGCGTCATGTGTCTGCTCTTCTCTGGCAGCAGCCAGCTCCACCACAGGTCCTGAGGCTCTGGTGTATGAACGGGAGGGTCAGCAGCTGCCCAGTAAAAACCCTTCCTCCTGGTCCATTGAAGAGGTGATGCAGTTTGTAAGAGATGCTGACCCCACAGCGTTGGCTCCACATGCTGAACTATTCAGAAAACACGTGAGTCAACTCAAAACCACCACAAGTTGTTTAGTTGTATGTTATTATTGGCTACTATAGATCATTTGCTTCTCTGCATGTTTTCTGAATACAAGTCTTACTCCATGTTTCCACAGGAGATTGATGGAAAAGCCCTGATGTTGCTACGGAGCGACATGATCATGAAATACATGGGTCTGAAGCTGGGACCTGCACTGAAATTATGCCACCACATAGAGCGACTGAAACAAGGCAAAGTGTAACAGGTGCCAGGGCAGCATTCTCCCTGCCAGACGCAGGGCCTAGAAGCCCTGAAGGAGCCAGCAAGTTGGACACTGACTCATGGGGCACGCAGGGACAACATGTAACTCCAGACTCCGCCTCCAGAGACTGAAAACATGTTGCAACTTCATCCAGACTTCCAGAGCGGAGAAAGTGTGCCGTGTAGTGCTGACACATTACCTCACCCCCTCATCAGTGAAGAAAAAGCTGTTCAAGTCTAACAGACACCACTGACTTAATGAAATCCCAAAGGAAAATAATCCCTGTAGTGTTTACATTGCATAGCACATGTGCACACGTGGACACGTTTTTTTATGGAGATGAAATCTTTTGATCCTGGTTTTGGATCCCCAAAGATGGAGAATGTTTCTTCTTATATAATGTTTTTATTATTGTTGAATTTCCAGTTAATAAGGAAGGGTTGGTCCATCAGACGTTCTTCCCCATGCTCTTCTGAGAGAATTTGGATGCTCTCTCATCTGTGCTGTTGTATAGCCGTCTTCACTCTTCACGTATATGCCTAAAGTGTGGGCGTATCTACCTGCCCGAAGGATGCTAACGCCAGTGCATTCCACTTCTTTCACACAGTGCTAGACTGACGTTCTCATCTGCTTGAACCATGTTGTCAGTATCATGGCAGGAATCATATTTTTTAATTGATCCTCACTTTTTCCTCGAGTGTCCTGCAGGATCGTCACCTGCTGGTGCCGCATGATGTATTATTGTGTCTTAGCAGGCCCGCCGTCGCCCCCCACCACTCTCCATGCAGTTCTTACAAATGTCAAACCGTTTGTATCCTGAGCTCTGAGAAGTTAAGAGTGTCTCAATTTCAATGGACAGTTTGTTAAGGAAGTGCAAGAATGATTTTTCTAAGGGCTTTGTATGTTAAGTTTTGATGTAACGTTTTAATCAGTCATAAACATTTTAAGTTCACAGGTCCGCCTGCGACCTCAGCGTTGTCACTTTTGACCGTTACAATCACTGTTAGCAATGAAAACAGATGTGTACAGTTTTATGGGTTTAACCATGAATATCAGCGACAGAATGTACATTTTGTAGAAACTTAATATTTTAAGGAAATCATATACATAAGTTAGAAATGTGAAGATAAAGGGGATGGGGGGAATGTTTCAGTCGATTCCATTCTGCTTTTTAAAACTTAACGCAGCGCTTTTAGTTCAGATACTCCCAGTTCTAGACTGCCTTGCTTTACCTATGACATTTCTCAGGTTTATGTGGTCTTTGTTAGTACAAGCTTTTGTAGCACACTGTTTATAATATACTTAACAGAATTTTCCTGTTATTCCCTTCCTCCATTTAAAAAGACTTGTGCCATATGATATTCACACACAGGATCGAAGTGCTGTTGATTTCCTTCTCTTGCATCTTCTTTAAAGTACTTGAAAAATATGTGTTGCAAAAAGTCACTTGTCCATAAACAATATGTGTTTATAATGTTGTGTATTTTCTTTTTTTTTTTTTTTTTTTTTAATAAACCTACCAAAACAAACGGATGTGCACATCTTCTTACTGAATACAACAGCTGACTTATGTTCATGATGCTTTTTAAAAAGAGGGGAACAAAGTTGCTGAATTCTTTTATTTTAAACCAGTGTTACCTACAAAACTTTATTCAGGAAATCACAGAAAGCAGGAGCTCTGAACAATGAGATCTACGATGTATCAGGACAACCTGAAAGCTGAAAGTCCAGCATTTCTATCATTGAAATCCTTTCATCAGTCTTTGTGACGTTTGTTTGGAAACAATACGTCTCCAGCGTGAGAAACAAGCCGGGCCTGCTTGTGTTTACAACATGAAAAATAAGAGTAACTGTCAAAACAGTTTGAAAACACTTGAGGCATTATGAAAAATGATTTTGATTGATCACATATGTTGTATAAGGAAGGGCCTGTGTTCTCAGTTACACTGTATTCTGGATGCAGTCTGACTGAACAACACATTGAGGACGATCTGATTATTACATGCAACATGAACTAAAAATGCTTTAGGTTTAATTATCCACCATCAATTCACTGACAAACAACCAAAGGCTTTATGCTGCTTGTTTGACATATATATATAAAAATAAAAGTCACAAATATCGAAGCACTGTTGAATGAGAAATCATTGAGTTTCTCATCCATACAAATCAATGAGATGCCAGATGAGTCTGATGAGTCAGTGCACTTAAAGCTGAAAACTCTCATGTACCACAGTTACATCACTAACACTTCATATAGTGTGTGTGTGCTTCATTTACTGTGAACACAGCATCCAGTCATTTTAGCGCCTCAGCTCCAGACTTCACACTCAGCAGCCTGTGGAGGGTTTCATTCAGTTTAGAAACTGTAAGAAGCCTCTTCCGTTGGGCTATTTGATAGGAATACAAACCTCTCTGTCACAAAGAGTTGGTTTTGCTGGATGAAACATTTTGTCTTAATAGAGCTGATTCTTACCAGAAGGCTTCCTCCAGCCCGCTTTCAGTGAACTCTGACATAAGAAGACTTCTCTCTGATATCAAACCAGGTAGAAAAACCAGATAGAAAACGTCATCAAAAAAAAGACAAGACTAGGAAATTTAGAGCTTGGGACATTTTAGTTCACTTCCATATAAAAAAGCACACGTACTGTACAGTAAGCAAACATTTAACTGCCAGCATTTCAACTGTTTCTTCACCAACATCTCAATTCAAACAAAAGTTTTCATAAGCAAAAGGTGCTTCAGGAGACTGACAGGTACAAAGGAAGCTGTTTTTTTAAATCCAGTCACACTCTGTCTCCTCACTGACCGTCCAGTATATACACAGACTGTATAAATAAAAGTTACAGAGAATAAATTAGGGTGAAATCCTCTACAACATTTCAAACTACTTCACGGTGGGAAAAAGAGCTTTCTGTTGAATGGACTGCAGACATTAGTTAAAGATGTACTAAAGCACATCACTATAAATAAAGACTTGGTAAAAAAGTGGAGCTTTATGTATTTTCCATCCCTCCTCTGTTCATCCAGACAGTCTGCATATGGCTGTTATTAGTTCTTGGCCTGTAATTCACAGATTTTCACTGTAATCACAAAGGGGCAACAGTCTTAGTAGAATAGGTAGGACACCATGTAACGTTTAAACTAAACTATGACAAAGTGCACTCAGTAAAAATGAACTGACACACGACAAACACTCTGCACATTCACATCTGATCAGAATCATGGGACAGAGAGAAAACACCATGCTCCACCAAACACTGAAGATGACACCAAACTACTTGGAACAAATGTCTTACACTGAAATATTTGATGGGGGGGGGGGGTTCTGGTTCTAATAACAGACTAACACGCACTTTAACAAATATATGAGCAGTATTTTCTCTCACTGAAGCCAAGGAAACGCTCATCATTTCTTCAGTGTGGCTGTTCCCTTCTACTTCATCTTAACCTTCACATTTTAAGTTGATGTATACCGTTTCCACCTAGATTCAGTTCATAAGTCTGTTAGTGGAAACAGCCAGGGGGGCATAGTGTTGTATACACAGACAAAAATAGTTCTTTCCAGAAATGTCTTAATATATTTGGCCAGGCCTGTAGTGTTGTTTCAATATGAAAACAATTAAGACATCCCTTTTTTCCTGCTGTTTAACAAAGTAAGAATGTACATTGTTGCCAACGTTGATTTTGCCAACTCCTTATTAGCCCATCATGCTAAACCCCTGCCAATCAGAAAAGAGCATGTCGCTCCAGTGAGCTACTGATGACTACGGACGTTTGTGATGATGATGATGATGATGATGATGGGACATGGTTTAACAGTCTCAGTCACGTCCTGCCGGTGAACACTGCTCTGCTCCAAACAGCAAGAACCTCGACTATTGGCTTTTTGGGGTCTTCAGTGCACTTACAGAAAAATGACACATGGAAACAAACCATGACCCAAAAGGAAAAATGGAACCCATGTGTCTCTGCTGTAATTATAAAGAGAAACTCCAAAGCCACATGGAGAGCCCATTAAGCTGCCATACACAAAACAACATTTATGGTTTAGTATAACACTCCAGAGTAGTGCATTACATAACAACACAGCCGTTCAGCTTTCTGGAACCTCAGTGTCACATTCATGAGCCTCAGTTTCAGCAACATTTGGAGCCAAACTCTGAGCTTTGATTGGACATGTAAGTGTATGAGTTTGATTACAGAATGTCCCCACATGTGTTTTACGTTACACGCTCTGGAGGGATTACCAGAGAGCGGTCCAACAATTAATCCCCCTCCGCCAAGCGCCCTCACTTCCTGGGGAGCAGCGCTGCCAGTCTCTGCTTCTTAATGGGAAGGAAGTGGATCTCCTGTGAGCTGACCTTCTTCAGTTTGATGGCTCTGTTTTTAGGGACCTTTTTAAGCGGGTCATTGGGGTCATGCTGCTCGCCCTGGGATGCTGTCGGCACTCTGTAGAGCTGCTGCAGAGACGCCCCCTGGCTGCCGTCCCGTTTGATGGAGAAGTTCTTGGTGGAGACCCCCGAGAGACCTTTTATCTTCCCGCACAGGATGGCAGGGATTGCGTCCTTCACAGAGACGATGACCTTGGCCGTTTGTGAGGTACTGACTATTTCAAGGTTTCCAGGCCCGCTGAGAGACGCATCCTGACCTACAGAGCTAGACCCACCCGCATTACTGTCAACCACCCACTTGTGCTGCCGGCTGAACTCCAGGGAAGCCAGACTTCCCAGGAGTTTGGAATCTAAACTCTGAGAGCATTCGACCCCCAGAGACAACGAAGTACCACTCGTATCCTGACTGGACTGGAAGGCTGAATCTCTGTCTCGTCCTGGTGAGCTGCTGGAGCTACACGACTGAACACACTTCTTCCTCACACCAGGCACTGACAGGTCGAGCACACTGTCCTGCTGTAGGCTGGGGTATTCCTGTTTTGGTTCTACTGGACATGCCCTGACAGACAGATCTAATGCCTGTCCTTCATCTGGAGGAAGTGAGGACGGGGACACATTTTGTGGCTGGAACAGTGGCAGGCATTTGCTTGAAGACAGTGAAGGAGAGGTAGTATCTTTTGGAGAAGTCTGAGTGCTTTTACTCACTGTGCAAACTGTGTTTGGCATGCTCCCCTTTGAGTCCTCAGTCTGAGGGACAGGAATGAGGATGGGGAGAGGGACGGGCAGAGGCACTGGCAGCGGGATGATGACGGGGTAGGGGACTAGAAGTGTGGCAGGAGGGACTAATGGGGCCAGAGGGGAGGTGTAGGGAGGTGTGAGGGGAGGAAGGGGGAAGAAGTTGGAGCCTGGTGACTGACAGGTTGATGAACCAGCCTGGGAGGGAAAGAGGTCCTGCAAGATGGCCGCAAAAGCTGGATTCTGGAGGAGAGAGAGCAGGTTAGCCTCCTGCGTTTGTCCCACTGACTTCTGGTCGACAGGTGGAGGTAAACCAAACGTCAAGGGGTTCTGACACAGGACGTTGTTCTGGAGCGGCAGCTGAGGACAGTTAGTGGTCTGAGGAATCACAGAAGGACTCATGTGCTGGATGACCTGCTGATCCAAGACCAGGGGGAGTGAAACGGGGCTTTGGCTCGTTATCAAGTACGGTGCTGCCCCCATTTGGCCGAGCTGAGGGCCAGCGGCTCCAGCCATCTGGAGGTGAATGGGCAGCATCAGTGGGCTCTCTCCCAGACACACTGGGTGCAGCACAGTTGTGGCGACTTTGAGCGACACCCCTCCTGGAGACTCTGCAGTGGGAGTCACCACTGACGGAGCAGGCGGCTCCACCAGGTTAGAGAGGCCTCCTTTGCTCAGTCCTGTGGTGCTGCTGTCACAGGAGTCAGCAGGGATCACTGGAGTGGCTCCATCCTCCACTTTACTGGTGATTTCACTTCCTCTCACCTCAGCGCTGCACACGTCAGTCTGCGGCTGAGTCACATCATCACTACCCTCCATTATTCCGCTTGAAGAGTCAATCAAAAACTGCTAGTGATGGGTCTCATCCATTCTTCTTCCAGGCAGCCCTGAAACACAGGAAACACAATGTTTGCTGCTGTGCTGTAGTTTCAACAATTACACATACACAAAAACTGTACACAGCACTGAGAACATCACTGGAATTTGTCCTGCGAATGCCATGTGAAGGACACCTGCTCCATGTTGTGTCTAGTACAGCTCAGGAAGAAATACTGTTGATTAAAATATAAAACACACTGCAAACAAAGCATGTTGAGATTGAGGTATGTCTAGTTCTTTGACGGTACGCTGTAAAAACAGAAAGAATCGTTGAGTTTTCAATTTTCCAAGGGTACATGAACTAACCATGTCTGACAAACACTTGCCAAAAATAAAGTTTGCTGGAAACAAATCATTGTGTAAAAAGTGTGTTTTGTTTTTACCAGCAGCTGAATCCAAAACTACAAAATATACTTTTGCCGATATCCTATTTTACTAAATTAAAAAAAAAAAATGTTTGAATTTTATT